GGACACTATCTTCTGACTTGATAACAAAGTTACGCCAGATATCTAAATGATCTTTTTATTTGACCAAGATTTAATAGAAATAATCTATCAGTTCCTTAAGCTACAGATAAGCTAAAACCACTCATTTTCTCTTTGTTATAATATTACCAGAMTCAAATACACGAACTTGAGTGTAATAAACAGAAAGCAGCTTTGCAACAATTCGTGTGTGACTCAGAASAGAAATTTGTTTTGATCAAACATACACTTGCTTGTTGAATGAGAAATTTTTAATTGATGATTAYAAAGTTGCAATAAATCTCCTTTAGAGGGAAGGGAAATTTTACAATGGCTAAATCGAAGGATTAAAAAGATTAAAAGATAGCTCCAAGTAGCCACTAAGGAACAGAAGGATGGCGAGGGGTTTTCAGTGGCTGACCAMTGCTAAAGATAGTAGTATATGTAATACACATGGTCACACAGCTCAGAGATGAGAGACACTCGCCTTCTAGCTACGAAATGTTTGCGATGTTATCGCAAGACTAGGGCTGGATTTGAGCTTGATCATCAAATCGATAAAAACAATAAAAATGATTTGAGATTCCAGACTCCAAGTTTATCACACTATCCCAGAAGAATATGTATTTGACACTCCTAGATTAAGACGATACGCCGTGCCATTTTCAAAACAAACATCACTGGCTAGATTCTCCGGTTTTGCGTGTAAAACATTCGATTGTATTTCCTTACGAGGTTTTAATATGAGCTCAAAGATTTGCTGTAATTCMTAAAGCTCGCAAGAAACTCGTTAAACTAGTTTTAGAGTCTTGAAAACACTTTCTTCTTGAAAGTGAAGAGATGATATACATGGAGATAATTGTCCTTCTATAATACGATAAATGTCTTATAATATGACATTAATGTGAACTGCACTTAGCGTTTTATCAAGCTCAACAACTAAATATTTTCAAAATTAGACCTTGCGGGTTCGGTTTCTTGTGTTCAAAAGTTGTTATTGGTGCCTTGGTTGTCTTCAAGATGTCCACACTCGAGTCGATTGTGTTAATCAAATATAGCACCTATCTCTATGATGTGCCAAACGTTTTTCACAAGTCCGGATTGTTGACTTGAACCCTTTCTAGAGTATTTGGCTTGAAATGCTATCTGCTCATYGCTAATCCTTTGCTCAAAGCTCAAGCATGAAAACTATTCACGAAATTGCCTGACGCCATCGAAATATACGATTAATTTTCAGAACATTTCACCTAAGAAATCGGCGTCGCGCAGCGATTTTCGCCCGCCCACACGGCCAGTCACCAAAGTTAGTTCTAAGCTGGAAGGTGTTATTTTCTAAAACACTTCCGCCCTAAACCTATCAGTAGTTCAACCCACACCAGTTTGCTATGAAACTGTAGTCTATCCGAGTATCGTTGGTCGAGATTAAAAACACCTTCGTTATGAGATGGTCATTTAGTGAAAAGTTTCTCTTGTCAAAGGTCAGGTTTTAGAGTGCKGTCATTTCATGTTGCAAGGACYTAATTGTTTTTAAAGCACTTTTTCGCTACATATGTTTTTCAAAAACTAAGGACAATTTCTTCGGTTTGTTTACATATTTTTACTAAAAACAAAACGTCTTGTTTTGCTGCTGGCAAAATACTTTGCTATTATTTGTAAAGTGGGYAAAAAACAAAGGAGTTTTTTCAGTCTTTAAGATTATTAACCCAAGGATTGAATAATTCAGTTTATTATGTAACGACGTCGAAAATAACCCGCTTTGGAACCATTAACGACTTGACAACCTTAACGTACTCAAATCATTTAAGGATTCGTGTCGGCTAAGTGATTGACCGGACTGCATATACCGACTCCCTTAGGGAACTTGCCAGTCATTAGCGACTAAGAGATCTTTGTTTTCTTTTGTGATAAAATAGTATATCGACTATTTTTGTCCTCTGGGCTGTATGTGTTGACTAGCCCTAATAAACTCCAAGAGCTGTTATTTAGGGTGGTTTCTGTCAGTATATATATAGTTTATGAGAGACACGTTGCTATTACAGTTTTAACGACGTGCCTGAAGTATATCTCACGACAGTATAATGGATGAAATTCGGTACTTGACAAGGAAATATTCTCTTTTTTTCACACTCGGGGAGTCTTTCCTCAGTAAGTTATSCATTTGGCTCATATTTGAAACTTTTTGGACACATAAAATTGTGCGTAATTGTAATTTAAAACATTTTGAGTTTGTGATTAAAGTGAAATGGAAGTGTACAGACGCTGATGAATTGAGTTTAAAGTCAATTTATTTTCTGTTGTGTTGAAGGATTATTCAATCACAGTTTAATTTTTTATAAAAATACAAGATGTTGATAGAGTTTTAAGAGCAATATCGTGTACAGGTCGTTTGGTTGTAGATATCTTAGCACACATGAACATTGTACAGTATCAGACGAAGCTTCTAGATGTCAAATTAGCACCCAGTTGAGAAATCGTATTTTGTTGTCACTTTATAAATCATCATTTTTACTTACAACTGAGGCGCACAAAACCGCACCAAATGTCGCGGAAATAAACTTTAATGAATAAGTAATCCTGGCTCCTTTAGTAGAGGACATTTTTGAGGTCTAAAGCTTTGTGTTAAAGAGCCCATTCGCTAGACATTAGTCAGCGAGTTAAAGCCAATCGATTCGAGAGTTCTTACAATTGTTACAAAGAATGCTCAATTTTTCTGTTTGTTCTTTAATTTAGGAGATGACACGAAAATAAAAAGCTATGAGACATTAAATCTGGATGTTTGTGCATAAATTTTGAGGTCGTTAAGTAGTGAAATCTCGTTTTGTCGTTAGATTGCCATCGGGTAAATAAGACTATTAGAGATGTTCTGATCCCTTTTGATCCTTTTCCACATTAGCTATACCTGTACAATACTTCCATAAAAAATCACAATGGAAAAGAAAGATATTTGCCACAACGGAAGTAGCTGCACTAAATGATTTTCTATACAAATAAAGCTAACTTGTGCTGTTAATCCTAAATCCATTTAGATCGAAATCGTCGTAAAATCGACAAAAATGACTTTTTATCAGAAACTCACTGCCTTAACGAAGAACCGCAACTGCCTCTCTAAAAAAACGCATATAGAAAATTTTCAATTACAAAATTAATGAATCAAATAAAGTAAATGATTAGCAAACTTTGACATGCTTAGAAKTTACTTTATTTGTAAGTTTGTCTCTTATATCGTACCTTGAATAGCAAAACTGACTATCAACATACGATCTTAATGAAAGTACCCTTAGTAGCTGATGGGTACCCGCTAAGATTGTATTGTAACACTGTTTTCGAAACAGATATAATAAAATCGCTGCGGTCAGTGGGCTAAACTCGCACTAACTGTGATTTATACATTCAAGATATATCTGAAAATTATGATTKTATGCAATGCCAGACAGTCTGGTCTATTTTTTGAAATCGTTGCTTGGGAATTCTATAACTAAGAACAGTTTCCAGCGAGAATCCCAAATGATGCAATAATGATAGTCTAGTCTTTTCATAATCAAGCCGGATCAACTATGGTGTCGGTCTGCTCCCATTTTGGGATTGAAAAAAAGGAAGYYAATTTCAGGAAGATATATTTGAACATTGTTTATTGTCTGGTAGTGTAGGAAAACCAGATTAATCGCTAAATGAGGTATGGGTTTGAGGGCACAGAAATCAATACTGGTTAGACGTGCAACTAGTGAATGCCCTCAAGGGTATTTTTTTTATTATTCCGAGATCTTTCCCAATTTCTCCACACTTATTGTTTTGGTCTTCGAAGTCTGTGGCTTGACAACAACCTTTCTTGGTGTTCATTGAATCCCTTTCTCTCCCAAAGACAATAAATACTAACAAACCCGGGTGTAAATTAGGTGAAAAAGTTGGCAGTTTTGACTCCCTTTAAGAGTGTATGATTTGCAAATCTATTGGTCAGACCGGCTTCTTCATAGCGACATATCTGGCGCATTAATCTATCTTAGTCACTCCTTCTGGATTTTGGATGCGATTTATCTGAAGATAACCCGTGATAACGGGTTGATTGCGTAGGCTACTGATGTTTTCTAAATTGTGTTATTGATAAGGGCTGTCTCTCGCCTTAGCCTGTTATCACTCTCTTGTTGCCACATACCTTGGCCTAATTACATTGCCCTAGTAAGTCAGGCACGAATACCAAAATAAGGCAGTATATCTATTGTAAACATATCATGGACTATCGCTCGTGGTTTACATCGACTTATAGGCAAAACATGCAAATAAAATAGCTGACATTTTCTTTCAAATTCACGATATCTTCAAGGGCCAATGTAARCCCAGTTATCCCAGCGGTTCCTGTGATAACAAAATCAGGGATATGACCAGAAGTATGAACTGCTGACAAAACCAAGCTTTACAGTAAGCGCATGAGATTTTTTTTTTTACTAAACAATAACAGGCAAAAAGAACGCTAAATCTGCGCTAAGAAATACTAGAGTAATTAACCATTGTTTGGTAGCTGTCATTGCCAATTCTTTGAGAAAGTAGGCAGGCGTATTGATTGCATTCAATAAAAGACTACGAGGATTGAAGAACAATAACAAAGGAGGGCTTTGCTCAGTGAAACACCTTGGTCAGCCAATCGTTGGTTTAGTACATGACAAAAGAGTGTCGTTAGATCGAGCTTGATATCACATCTTGTACGTGGTTAATCGATTCTTTGACCGTTACTCTAAGTCATTTTGACACCCAGCCATTCATCTTATTTTTTCATTCTTTTCAATGCTAACAGGAACTCCATTCAGAACCTAAAGGTGTTAATGTAGGCGAACAAAGAACTCGTTTTTGGGGTTGTCTTCATTTTGAGCCCACAGCTGAAAATGGTTTACCTTTAGCAAAGTAATTTCTCTGGTACTTGAAACGAAGTGCTTTTGAAACGACGCCGCGACGCACACCATTAGAACTACTGTTTTACTGACATATTGAACTAACATGGCAAAAAAAAAAAATTTTTTGTTTCACCTTTGACACAACTTTATTGTCTTCTTTGAAAGTTATTCCTTACTATAAACCACGYCCCGTGTCAGGCCTTGCTATATCTACTTAAAAGCATGAAGCTTTCATATATTTCATAATATAATCTATGATTTACAAGTATATTTCTTTGTACAATATTTGATGAGAGCGAGCTAGTGAACACACGGCAGTTGTGGAATTCCTTTTTGAGTATTTTTTAGTGATGTGAATTCCTTTAAAACAGGTGAATGTTTCTTTTWTACATCACCTGACTGTGCTTTCTATTCGTTCTACAACTTGATTTATGGATTGAAGATTCATAAAAGAGAATGTTCTTTGAGGTTGTTAATGTTCTTTGAGTTTTACATCCTCATTACTCGAATCTTCTGAATTTTTTAGCCCGCGGAGATCGCCGTCGTCTTCAATACTGAGTTCATCAGGACTCAAAGGTGGCTTGCAGTTTGAAAGACCACAACCTTGTTGATTCATTCTGCAGAAACAAAAAAAAAATGAAGAAAACATCAAATATTTACTAATTAACTAATAACACATTCCAGAAATTATGTACCGTCCGATTTAAGRTGCGGTAAACTGCAAAAATAAACATGTTTTTTCTCAATGTATCCTTTACTCAATTCAAATGCATTCTCTACTTTTTAAAGTCATTTTCCTAAGAAAKGTTTTCGCGAAAGTCTCTCTAAATAAAACGTTCAGTTTGGTCCACTAGCATTCTAAGTCATTGAGAGCATTTTTGACTTTAGGTAATGAGTGTAGTGCACCTGGACTTACGGGCACTAATGGCAGGAACTCATACAATCTCTTTGCTTGATAACAGATTTAATTTACTTGAYTCTCGGTCGGTGTTGTATATATGTGTTTCGCTTACATGACCCTGGAGCTGGTTGGTTTGTTATCAGAATGTGAAATGTATCATAGTCGCTACAACAACTTTAGGTACTGCCAAAATACAAATAAATCCAACTACAATCCAACCACTATGCCCAGCTCTTTAAACTTAAGCTAAATATTATTTCAAAAATTGTGTTTCAGTCTGTCAAATCGGCTTAAAAGATGTAGATATAAAGTTCAACATAAATTTGATTTTAAGACACGCGACGAGGAGTAAACAGAGGAAATGGACTTTCCTGACTCGAAAAGATTTTTTCTCGTAATAGCATAAGAGAGTCTTTTATCCAAAAAGGACGCTTCAACAGCCGAAGGGATACTTTGTTGAAGTAGAAGTCATTTGCAGAAAAATAAAATACTAAAGTATTGCAGTGTTTTTAGTTTGTAATTTCTATTAAGTGCTAGTCTCAAATCTGGTTGAATCTCAGCTAATCAAATTCAGCTCATATCAAACGTACATCGTTTTTGTCTTGGTATCTTGAAATACTCTTCAAAAAAACTCAACGCTCTATTTTGTTCAAAATTGACGAATTTTATTTGATTAGTGGAACACATATCTTATCCTTGATATAAAAAGTAAGCCATCAATGCGTTTATTGTTGAAACAATGTCCATGCTTAGTAAGGCAAGGCTTTCAAATTGATTTATTGCCTGTAGAAAACATCTCTCAAAACATGATTTGAAAAGCAAATATTTCAAGCATCTCGGCATTGAAGAGGTGATATCCATTCAGGGTTTTTTCGCAATTAAGTATTTCTWGAATTTCAGAACGGAACTGCGAGGAACGTAAATAGAAAGTAATACGGCCATTTGACTGCCCCGAGTAAATACAACAATATCAATTTATAGACTCATACCCAAACAACGAGCCGATTTGTGCACCCTTCTTGTCGATATTTACAAAACAAAGTAAAACCTCCAGAATAAAAAAATAAATAAAATTAACCTGAAAAAAGCATATGTAAACTTAAATAAAGAAAACCTAGTGATACATTATYGAATAATGAGCCCAGAGGTTTTTTTTCCGTGCGAGGACAGTATCGRTTGCAATACTGGGTCTAAGTTTTGGATCTGATCCATTTGAGATGGATGTTTACACATCGTACTTGTAATAAGTGACATTGCTCGCTGAAAGCTTTAGAGTTAGTTTGCCACGAGCAAAACTCACATAGAAAAGGTGTTCGGGCTTGTTTTTGAACGTTTCGTTCTCTCGCAAAGTATAGACTTGATGTGATTATAACGACCTTAGCTTTTTGTTTTTAGCCCTCAAACTTCACGTATTTTTCTTATAATAAAAAAAGCAGTAAAACCTAAAGATTAGGAAAAAACCCACAAAATCTAAATGTATTCCATGCAAAAATAAGGTTTTGAGTTTAGGAATAGCTCAGAATTACACATTTTGTAGGTTTTTTAGCTTTAAATTTTCATCTAGATTGTCAGAAACGAAACAAAAACTAAAATCGCGGGAATTCATTGTGCATAATGAAACCAAACCCATAAAATTTATTTATTGAGATCTTGAAATTATTGTCCATCCCTGCAAATTGGGCTCTATAAATATTTGAAACCATCGACACCTCAAAGGCTTTAATGATGCTTGATAGCGACTAGGCCCTGTTATTCTAGAGTAAGTGGTGAACAAGGTGTAAAGCCCTCCCGTTTCGCACCTATAGTTGTTGTAAATGCTTCTACTATAAGATAATTTCTGCGTCTTTCTCCTCCCACTATCCACTGTCCTCACTTGATTTTTACAAAGTATTCAAATACATTCGTTATAGCGACAAAACGATTGGATGAAGGCGTCTTAGAAACTYTAGGGTATAGACTTACGAAGTGATGAATTGGATGCATATAAACGAATCAAACCGCATCAAAAGCGTAATCTTTCCTAAGTAGCTGAGAATATTTGTAATAACATGACATATTAATAAATAAATGAGAAAAAGTACTCTTAATAAGATGGCGTTTGTTCGTAATCGAAATAAACCTTTCTTTTCCGTCAGCAGTCTCGTCATGACATTGAAACGATGGTTACCATATGTCGACAAACCGTGATAGCAAAACTAAGTGACGTAAAAGTATCGACACTAGCAGAAATTAACAATCGTCTAGTCGTTTTGGGAAATAAAAGTTTTAATTTTTCGTGCTCTTTATTGCTTGAATGATGGATTGATTACTGTAAACCACATGTCGGTAGGTCTGATTGCTAAGCAAGTGCCACAGTTGCCCTCCAGCCAAGTGTACATATCACTTAGGTTCACAACCATCGTATACATTTCAGGATCAAACGTTTCCTAGGACCATCTGTTACTCGAAAATCATCCAAACCAATTCACAGGGAATAGAGAAGGTCCGTGACACGTCCATTTCCAGACTCTCAAAACACTAATACTAATCTTACTTTTAGCACTAAACTTGCACTAATTTGACCATTTCCGCAATAACCGTGACCCAGAACAAGCCAGCAAAGCAATAAAAAGATACGCGCGATCTTGTGCTTGATATATCAAGATGTACAACAATTTATTGCCGAACATCACTCGTAATGATTACACTAATGCAGACATGGATTTTTGCGTGTGTAATGAACGTTGATAATCAAGTTAACTACAAGACTAGATGACATTAATTTACCTGTTTTTAGCTGCCGCAGCTCGGTCTCTTTGCCGTCGATTTTTGAACCAATTTCCCACTTGAGTTGGCGTGAGACCAGTAGCTTGAGCGAGTTCTCGTTTCTTRGTTGGGTTTGGATATGGATCCTGTAAGTACCATTCGCGTAGAAGACTCCGCGTGCGCTCTTTGAAACAGTGAGTCTTCTGTTCACCATCCCATATCGTTCGCGGCATGGGAAACTTCTTTCGAACTCGATATTTGTCTACTGGTCCAAGGGGTCTTCCTCGAAGCCGTTCTGCCTCTTGATAATGTGCTTCTAGCCACATAGCCTGTAGTTTTGCATGTGACTCCTTTGTAAATCGATGCGTCTCTAAGATGTGGTATAAGTCTCTAAAGTTGCCCATGTGAAAAGCAACAATTGCGCGAGCTCGGAGTACACTTTCGTGTTTACTGAGAGCCTCTAATGTCCCAGGTGCAACTGGCAATGACCACAGAAATCTGGCCAACCGTTCAACATCTCCACTCTCTTCTAGTGTCTCACAYACTTGAGCGATTTGTTGAGGACTAAAACTCAGCATAGGTAGCGGAGCGAACATGTTGTCCGCGGCTGTTGGTCTGGCTGGATCAGTAATCCGTAGTTGTGTTATACTCTATTAAGGCTTTTAACACGGGTGTGGTGTTCACTCTGTGAAGTGTCAAGATTTATCAAGAGAGTTAGAAACATGGGGCATATTATCACTACGATCGGGTATTACGTTGGTTAAGCTTATCTAATCTGATTGGCTCGTCAAGTACTAATTGCCTGGTCGTTATGACAACATGTCAGTAGAGTAGGCCAAAGTGTCATTTAGCGCGGGCCTGTACAATGGTTTGGGGCATGCTGTTAAGAAAAAGGCTTATCACATGATTATTGTTAAGAACATTTTCGACCGAATTGTGTGAATTGAAATATTTTAAGCGGCTCTTGGAAGTACTCTACTGAGTACTTAAGAAGGTGACAACACAAATGCTATGGATACATGGCATATTCGCCGGAAAAAAACCTGATAAAAATACCCGCTGTTGACAGATAATTTGACACGGCACTAAATCGGAAAAATAGAGACCCATTTATCTACATCTGGTTTTTTTTAGAGTAGATATTGTTTATGATACAACAAAGATCTGTCAAATCCTGCCGATGAACCGCCCGTATGAATACATCATCGTCGAGAAAATAAAAGTCACACTCAGAAGCAGTTGATGATAAAAACTGTCATTTTGCTAGGATCGTTTACTCGTGATATGGAGATTATYAAATCTCGAAAACAATACTTACAATCTCTTCCACGCCCCCACATCGAAAAGCACTGTAATAGACTTAGAGTACTAAAGGATCGCTAAGAAACTTCTCGCAAACATGCCAGCTAACGAACGTGTGATATCTGGTGTTATTTGTAACTAGARGCTAACCAATGCCACAGAGTTCTTGGCTGTTTGTGGGCTTCAWTTTGTGACAATAATGTTTATTGTAGCGCGCTAATTTTCACTCCGCCTAAGCATAAAAGCGCGCGCCCCAGATATTTGACCGAATTAATAGCAAAATTGTACAAATTCTTAATTATTTGGTGTCGAGAAGAAGTTTCGCGTTGCAAACAGATAGCAAGCCAGCCATTCAAAAAGRTGTTATGGATACTTAATTTACATCTAGAAAATTACGTTTATTGTGAAGACTAAATAAGAGTTTTTGTGCTTCAAAGTATCTCAGATGAGGTAAAATAATCGGTACTCGCTTGTTGATGAGAGTTTATCCCTTTTCAAACTAGCCTAATCCGACTTCATATTGACAAGTTTAACGCTAATATTCACTTCTAAAGTTCAAAAGTAGATTTAAAAACAAAAGTTTGTGTTTATCATATAAATATTTAGTGGTGTAGAAGTGAATTGGGGTAGAGTATTGTCGTGGCATCCCACTTAGCAGCTCTTCAAAGTAAAYCAATCTCTGAGGTTTCGAGCCGTTTTTTTTGTCTTTGTCCTGGTCGTCATGGTCATTTTCTACAGCTCAGTCTCATAGCTTAAGTCCGCTATTAATATTCCACCTTTTTCTTCTTTCTTTAATGGTGTTCTTAATTTCTTGATTAAATGCATTACCACGCGCCGTCCGAATACACACGAATATACGAAGATTGACTTAAGGCCAAACCTTTTTTMAACCAATCACATTTCGAGAAAGAGACTCAATTCCAAACTTATCCAATATAGAGGTTACGTTTTTTGTTTTATCTGAAAGATGACTCAATACCACAAAACGCTAGCTTTTAGTCAATCTGAAAATGATGTWAACTTGAATTTTTTGTATTAAAAGTTATGGCAAGAAATGTTTTTTTTTTTCGTATTTGAACTTCCCAATAAAAGACTTAAAGAAATTTTTTTTTTTTTGTAATAAATTAACTCCAAGACTGTGTTCTTAGTATGTTTCTAGCTGTGGAGAAATGAAGTTCGTAGATAAACAAAAACTGAATTGTTCCAAGTGATTTGTCCAAGTGTCATCTGCTTGTTGATGGTAATTAATCAACACAAACGCCACCTAACTGTGCATTTGCATATCTTCATTGATTTAACCTTATCATTAGCGTGTGGAAAGCATTTTGCAATTGATTCATATACAAATTACACGTTTTTCGTCAATTAACCTTCGCTAAATCMAGCAACTTTMTCCATGCACTTGAAATTCGGRCGTTAGATATGTGATTTTTGTTATGATTTATAACTYCATTAACAATTCCAAAGCTTCCTAACTTGGTTAATTCCTATGATGGAAGACGAGCATTTTTCGACAAATATCAAGATATTTAGCTATTTTTCATAGAATATCACACTAATATAAAGGCAATAACGATAGCCCTGAAGTATAGTGTTTATTGATCCGGGTTCTCAGTCTTCGTYGCAAGGTGCAATGTTCGATTCAGTGTAGCTCGTCTCCGACTTTCTCAAGTGGCGTACTTCAAAATGACAGGCCCTCTTTTATTACTACACTTTTGCGTCGTGTAACGTGTGCATTATATAGTCACAAATATGCGGCTAGTGCTCTATCGGTCTTTCTTCTACAGACCACATCGGTGACAGCGCAGGATCGTAAATCATAAACCTACAATGTGATCCTTGATCATTTTTTACAACCATTGACAGCAAGCAAGTAATCTCGAGTTGATAGACCCCCTTTTTTCAAATCAGAGAGAACCCATTTCACTTAAAAAGCAGCCAAAATTAAAATGTCTCAATCGAGACCAAATCACATTATTATCAACATACTTTTCAAAAATGACACAACCACAGCTAGAGGCAAGATAAAAGCAGAAAATGAGAACACGTTCAAATTTTCTATTCACGACCAGAAACACGTCGAATTCTTGAGTTTCAAATAAAATTCATCAAAAAGCATTGTTTATTTTTCGATTTGRTCAAATGTATACATTCTCTTTTTAGCATAAATATAGTGATTTCCTTTTTACACCATTTCAGAGAGTTTCATTTCCAAGAGCAGCTGGCAAAGGAAACACAAAGAAGCCCAGACAATGCTTTGCTTGTATTTACCGTTGTTCATAAAAGTACTTTGTTGAATATTTCAATTCTTGCATTAGAAAGTCAGTGTCTTTAGTGTTTTATTATTAAAAAAACGAAAAGTTTGAGTGTTTAATGCGACTAATCGAGTCTTTATAGAACGCCACGGGAAATTTCCGTCGCAGTAAACCACACTACATAGACTACAAAAAACTGTTTTGCTTATTTGATAAGCGTATTATTTTGATTATGGAATTGTAACTTTTGAAAACGCTAACATCGAAACTTTCCGCTAAAAAGAAAAGAAAGCAGCAKTCTCAGAATGGATAAGAGGCTAATCCTCGTAAACTAGATTTGCTGGRGAAAGATTTTGTGTTGGGTATATAGSAAAAGATATTTGAACCCGAGTGCGAAGCAATATTAACGTGAAATTATTACTAATGAACTATAATTACAAGACAAGTCTCGATTTCTTAATGATTTGCTATATGAATTGTCAGCAATATCAACGCAAGAAGCTACAAGACATARCCATGCTTTCATTTACTAAAATGAAGGGGTTTTATACGAGCCATGCTTTTATGCTGAACTTTCTGCAATAGTTCAAGAAGCCGTCCATCGAATTGAATCGAGATATTTTAGCAGATTAAGCGAACTGAAACCAATGTCTCAGAAATCACAGTCGAATTGAGATTGTTTACATAGGCATTAATAGTGTGTAGAGATGGTGTTTGCACTGGAACTTAACGTCCTAKTCAATACTAAAGATACTTTGTTGACAAATCAAAGATTATTTCTACAGCAAAACTCCACACGAGAGAACAGGTTTTTTTTATCAACGAACGACTCAAAGTTAGAGTTTGACAACATGCCATTGTAAACACATTGGTTGTTCAGCTGCTCGGTCAACAAGAAGACACGGACAAAATCCAACGTTCTTAAGTGATTTGTACTTAYAGCTTACCTTATCGCTACTGYCGACTATGGAGTGTTTAGGGAAAAGAGATGTACTGTAGTGCGTTTGTTGATCGCCTTTATCGCCTTGTGATGATACTAAATGCTAACACAGGGCGTGCTTTGTGCACAGCAAGGAAATCGACTAGCCCAGAGGGGCTCGTTCTTTGAACAATAGCTAAACAAACAGACTTAGATTTAGACAAAATATCCAACACAATATCATCTCATTCTATTAGAACTAACTACCACTTGTAATGCTCCTAATTGCATCTACTGTCACTGGAATACGATAGATGAGTAAGAGCATTGGGGAGGAGGGTTTCTTCTATTCAAATCGACCACTATATTATCATTTGGTTGTTCTATACAATGCTCACTAATATAGGACAACAATAGCGAGCACTCACAAAGATTTACATATCGTTCTATTTTCGATGAAACGACCCTTGGGACTAGTACTAAATCACTGATCATRACAATGGGCTGTATTCAAGATTTGGGCATCAATTATTAGCGAGAACACGAAAATTGATAGCATTGAATAGCATCAAAGACGAGTCCCGCCCACCCCATTATGTCCCATATGTGACCGTTCGTTTATTTCGATTTTAAAGTAGCCAGTGAAATGTTATACCTGTTGGTGATCCCTTGGGTTGGGAGTCTAGTGGCAAGTCTAGAAGTACACGATAAGCAATTTTTTTCGCTCGCACAGAAGTTGTCTGGGTGTAATGAGGGTAATGAGGCTATGAACAGTCCGTGTAAAAAGCACAAATTATTAAGAACCATTATTGCCAATTATTATCCCACCGAGATCCGAGGTAATGAGCTTTATTTCTAGACCCTTCCGGTCTTCCTCACGCTACAGTGGTTACGGACAATCACTCGAGATGACCGGAGAACAAATAAAAGCTCCTCCTACGTTGTGCATGGCTTAGCTTTTCATTTTGGCTTTACGGTATCATAGTTAAGGTTTGTATGACTCATTAATGATCTTTTCGCCCGAGGACTTGAGCGCTTTGTGATACTCAGATCCAACTGGACTTGAACGTCGTGACTTTGAAACTTTTAGCTTTATAATTAATTAAATGAATGGGTATTATAGAGATTCCTTTACATACCAAGCCATCAGCGCACAGGATATTGTACCTTAACACTATAAGTTTGTTTGKAAGTTTTTTTGGCATTCTTTTTTTAAGTCGAAAAATGCCTGCGGCCATTCGAGGCAAAGTGGGATTCTTACGCGACGGGATTTTGATTTCGTGTTTGAAAGCATTTCACTTGTGTTAAGGAATTATTTCCATATTATTGAAAGAGTCTGTGAAAGAGTTTTTTTTCTAGTGATAAGATATAATGTAATCTAGTATAGTTTCCCTCCCATAGCTTACAGATGGTCACTCACGGGGCTCCCGCAAGCATGGTCAGTTAAAGTGCCGTTAATATATTAATTCGGACTCTAAAACCAATTAACCTTATACCCAAATACGCATTGCATGGAACAGTTCTTGAAAATGGACTTAAAAAACAGGATTTGCGGTTTACTGTGAAATCTTTCTTGCRATCTAWGTCGCCARTAACTATAGAATGACCTTAGATATCSACGCTCAATACTACAAAAGTCTTTTAGTCTAGAGAGCTGAGCTGTCGAGGTAAAAGAATGATTGATTCGACCCCCTGATGGTAGAGCAAACAACGATCAAGAAAACCAAATTGCCATATTGAATATTAATCACACAAACGGTAGGGTTGACCTATTGACCAGCTCAACATGAGACACGAGGCAATTAAATTGTGCTCATTCAGAACCTGATTCAAAGAAACTGATACGTTTCTCGTGGTTGTTGATTCAGAACGTCGTTTTCTTTCCTTGAGCGTGATCAAATCGTTTGTTTACACAAGGTTCCGTTGCACTAATAGTCTAAGATGGCTTGTCGTGTGTACGTATGTGATTACGACGCTCAAGAGCTAACTGTTGACAGTATGATCGTCTATTTTGTCATGATATGCGGTGATGCTATGACACCCTTTGTAATAAACTATTGCCAGTGCTCAGTAACATCGAGAAACAACAGCGTCAAAAACCTTTTGCCGTTCCAGCCTTCTTTATTTGTCTTAAGTCAATTAAGGGATTGTTTTCATTTTTCTGCTGCACAACACGTGCGATCAGGACGGCCTTGTGGGCATGAAGTAAGATATTTGTCAAGTTGTGTTGTGTTTTAAAGCGTTGAGCACGGCGGGTGTCGTGGAATCATCCCAGGAGATTCAATTAGAACTATGGCTTCCTAATGGACAACCCACCCGCCGTCGGCTTTTCAAATCAACCATTCGTCCAATACTCTCGCAGCATAAATAGAGCTTGTTTTAAGACGCCCAAACATACAACCAATCTGGACTGATACTTTTGATTAGAARATATAAACCCATCTAGACAATTATCTTTGAAAAGATACCGCTACAGTTTGGTAATAAAGTAAGACGGTGAAAAAGTGATCCGAGATGAGAACTGATTGAAAATCCCTCGCGCACTCGGTATGCTTAAAAACAAAACTTTCAATAATTTGCCATGTTTTTAAGAAGAAGGAAAAAAATCTACTTCCTACTTAATCAGTTCGTCAAATGAGCGATTGCGTTCTCGTTTTGTTGATATTTGTTATTTGGCTTTTATATCAACTTTCGGTGTATTGGAATTAAATCAAAATGTTATGAAATATTTGTACAATTAAAACACTTGTTCAAGCCATGATCGTATTGGTGGTGAGCTCGAAAAATATGAGGAAAATCCCAACTTGGACCGCGTTCCTTTGACATAACAGTCTCGCTTTAAACTGATAGATCTCAATCCAGTAACGAAACTACACAAGTGTTTTGAAGGGTGGTTTAAAAACATTTGAATGGTTAAAATCATTCAGAAAGATCAACATTTATACAGGCTAAGTTTTATTTCCAGACCTCGACCACATAASCWTTTTAYCAGTGAAAAAACTTTCTTGTTCTGCTTTGAGCAAAATATCGACTGAAATGAAAAAAATTATAAGATTTTCATTTGAAAACGAAAGGTTTGAGCTTCCRACCAACGCAATATTTCAAAATTGGGTAGAAAGATGATGTGGTTGAAAGGCTAGAAAGTCACGACCAGTCCTTTTTTGACCGTAAAGATCTCATTACGCCTACAAAAATTCTAAAAAACAAAAATAGCTCCTGTGTCCTGAATTATATTCTTTAACAGTGTAATATCGATCAAGACTTCCGATGCGGTCCCGACAGTATGGACGACCTTTACAATCTACATGCAATTTTAAAATMTTAAAATATTTCTATACGTGTCTCACCTCCGCCTTTTTCTACCCCAGAGAGCAGCAATAATCATCTACTGTTGATAAGTTTGTCGATGAAAACTTTCATCCCTTCTCTGCTCGTTATAGCACAAAGGTCGGACCACACGAGCACATAGACCGACTAGCTATTTAGACACTAGCGATTACAGATGCAGTCTCTGTGACTCCCCTATATTTATGTGAAGAAATCAAAGAATTGGCGCATTAAAGAATCTAATTATCTCATTATCTTAGTGGATTTATGTGAATCAGTACTCAAAAGGACTCAGAAAAGTTTTGTTGTCGCGTGACAGTTGTAGACACCTGAATACGATACTCCCTACATGATGATGGATTGATTTCGTCTCCTAGGAYTAGACGGGGTTATTGTAAACTCTCTATGTGTAATGGAGAAGTGATTAACTTCAAGACAAAGACGGAATCTTTCATTTCTTGCAGTAAATAATTCTGATTTTGAAAGGGATTTGACAGATAGATACAATCAAGAACTCAGCGTGGGACATTAAGACGTTCAAAAATATTGACCAACGATTACAGCCAGTTCATCTATATTGAATTAAGGCTAAGTGAGTGAGGACTATGGTTATCTTGAAACCACATTGTGCTGTCAAGCCCGATCACCAGACTCGAGTTGAAACATAAAGTACTGTAGCTAATTTCTACCATAGTAGAATCTTCAATCAAGTGATTCTTGGTCAAGATACACTGACATGGCCGAGAGGTTCCTTGATTTAATTAAACCGACAGTAAAAAATCCTAATTAATGACAAAACGGGAAATATTGACGCTTTAATKACCGTACAAAAACCGTGGAATTGAATTTGACAGATTTATTTTAAGCCATGACACGAGTCTAATATTTTAAAGAGATGACCAAGAAAATACAAAACACCCTTCCAAAAAAAAAAAAAAAAAAAAAAAAAAAGAGACGGAATGATGACAGTGAATTGACATGGCAAGATTTTACCCTTCTCAATTTATCACAAAATCGATATCATCTGTCCCCTATCTTGCGATCTCTATAATACTCGTATTCAATCCAGCTTGCCTTTGTATGATACGCGTTTTGCGACCTCTGGGACTATCGGTCTGTATTGCTCGGAGTCGAACTAAAACTACTTAGCCTTGACTACCACACCTTGGAGGCGGAAGGGCACTCTGAAACCCTAGCGTGCCGTGGTGTGCTTTCTTTTCAATGTTTCGCTCCTTCTGTCTAATAACCCTTGCAAACCGCACGCTAAGTAATTCATGAACTAATCATCAAAACGGTGAACTATTAGAGGAAGCCTATATTGAACAGCGAGACGCTCTAATTTGAAGCAATTTTATTCCCGGTGAGAGGTTTAAACGTTTGACAATAATTGGAGCGTCCAACAGTGAACACCCAYTYGAATAATTGCTTTCTTTTTCAATGCTGCATCTGTATTTCATAGATGGTTTTTATGAGAGAATATCACTGATATTCACTTTACTTTGCAAGCAGAAAGTTTATCTTGTCAAGCAATGCCGCTTGGGTATTAATTATTRAAGGAGCTTCTATCAATTCCGAATTTATGCAAAGCTCAAGCTATGAACCCATTGATACTGAAAAAGACCTGATATTAATCCCCCCTGTGGAAAAAATGTGTATGGAAAAGATGTCTTGAGACTCCATGTTTTTGTTCGGATATAAAGTGCACTTGAAAACTTAAAATGAACGGTTAACTTGGTGACTTTTGWAATGATATTTGACATATTTCTCTACCACTGTGAACTTTCCGTTTTCCGTTCCCTTTCTTCAGCATTGATTGACTTTCCATTTTTTTTTTGTATAACCATAACGTTTGCAAAAATCAAATCTAAAACATTGAACTAAT